AACTTCATCTCTGACAAAATAATTAAAATCTAGACCATCCACATGTCCCAAAATAAACAAAGAAATACCAGAACCACCATCAGAAGTAACGCGAGTGAAATTTAAGTTGAAAGGCCGAAACCCACAAAAATCCTCCACATCCAATGACCGCGAACTCGTGACATTGTGCAGTTTACAGAGCACTCGTCACCCGCCTCAAACCGTACAACCTATAAGCACAAACTCCCAAAAACTGCCTATGTACCAAGACCCTTCGTATTAAATCACAACATGGATGTAGATTCACCCCCCCCTGGAAATGAAGGAGAGAGTGACTGAAGGTCCAAAGATGTGTCTTAGTTCAATTATTCGATAATACGTTTATAAACTGCTACGTTCATTTAAACCTTCATCTATACCATGGGCAGCGATATATCCAAGCTAATGTATTCTATCTCGTGTCTGTGGGGCATTAAAGTGAAGCTATCGACGTTCACTTTCGTTAGGAGAACTCTAAAGGCATAAAATAGGACACGCAACAGGTCTGAGATTCACTCTAACGCGCATTCCCTCAAATGCCCACCCACCCCGAGGGGAAAATATACCCCCGGATGGAAGGCTCACTAACAATAGCAAAGCAGGACATCCCCAAACGAATCCAATCGAACGAGATCAAACAAAACAACCCTTCAAAAACTTCAAAAACAACTCAGCTAATGCCCTTGCGAAGGTCCTCACACATAAAGCATGTCCACCAATTAGCCAGCGTCCCGAAGGTTCAACGCGTCATCAGCTCCTGCGCCCCTGTCCCCAATCAGCGGGCGAGTGGGGATTAGGCGCTCATCAAGGCCCATCCAGAAGCTCCTGTGAATGCCCGTAATGAAGAAATTACCTGCATTCAGAGACGTGAAAAGAGAGATACGGAGTGCGAGAAGAGGATCCCAGAGGGAGGGGAATATAATGTTATAGTGATGGGGAGAGAGGGAGAGAGGGAGGGAGGGAGGGAGAGAGAGAGAGAGAGAGAGAGAGAGAGAGAGAGAGAGAGAGGGAGGGAGGGAGGGAGGGAGAGAGAGAGAGAGAGAGTAAAATACGTACACACGAATATACATATGCACACGCACATACATGTATAAGAACTATGTAAGAACAAATGACTTTCCAGATGGATAAATTATAATATAAAAATTACTGCTGAAAATTTGTAACTGCAATTGATCTTGTATTGAAAAATGTTGCAATCGCAAGGAATTCGAAGATAAAATGGTCATCCTCATGAGCCCGGGAAGTTGCCCTCCTATTGGTGGTCTCTTTTATATCATACATGTATATATACACATATATATTTACATATCTATCTATCTATCTATGAATATACATATATAGACGCTAGATTATGCGGTAAAGTGACTTGAAGTCCCTTTTCGCCCCGACTTTGACTGCTTCACAGCTGGGGCGACTGCGAGGCCAATCAGTGAGCTTATGCCCCTCTGTTGCGGCTGCTGCGCCCCTGGGACTGCGAGGGGGGGGGGGGCGAGCGATCTGGTTAACGTACCGCCGTGGAAGTCGGATATATGCATGTATATATGTATATGTATATGTGTCTAAACATACAGACACGTACACACATACACACGCGCACACGCACACGCACACGCACACACACAAATACATACATATTTATAAATATATATATACACATATATACATACATACATATACATGCATGCACACAGGCATACACACACAAATATATACATATATGTGCATATATATGTATATACATGTGCGTAAGCATATTCATATGTATATGTATATGTATATGTATATATATATATATATATATATATATATATATATATATACATATATATATATATATATATATATATATACACACA